CCTGATAATCTACCAAATTGTATTACTGTTTTAAATGGCAAGTATCTTCAGCTTAAGTGATTTTCAAATGTTTCTTTCCTCTTGCATCCTCTAAGGATATTCTCTGCAGCCTGAAATATCACGACTTTTTGATGCCTTCTGTCACAATCCTTCTATCTGTCATACCAGCTTATCATCCACCCACACAATTCTCCATGGTGTTTTCACAACCTATCATTAGATAATTTTTTTAAAAATCTCTGCTTTTTTTGTTGTTCACCACCTACACAGGACCAAGATCTCCTAATGAAACTGATTTTTGCCCTTTATAGTATAGAAACAATCATGATAGTTCTTTTTTTACCTGCAGTTCCTCTTCAAAGTTACTTAGCGGTTCAACTTAAGGCAATAATTCATTTTTATACTAGTTCTAAATAGAAAAATGAAACCAGACCTACAATATGTGTATTCATTATGAATATCTACTATATAGGGAATTTGGTCAGAGAACAGTATTTGCCACTTAAAACAAGATTATCAAGTAGCCAGCAACTGTTTCTCAAGATGCTTCTTGGTAGCTAATGCAAAATTCTGCAAAATTTCAGTCCTCAGAATTATACATTCTTCCTAATCAGTGATAGGAGATGAAACAAGCATTGCATAGTTTACAAGTACTGCAAAAATGGTTTGAATGCGAAATAATTCAGTCACTTCTAGAATAGATTTTCCTTTACTCAGGTGAGCTGTTGCTTGTCATCTGCAATTACTGCAGTTGGACTTGGCATTCAGAGCAAATTCATACTTGCATAGCTCTTGTTGCCTCCTTCCCTGAGCATAAATATCACAAGGTTGGAAAAATGTCCAGGGTCCTTGGCTTTCGCTGAGATTATTCAACCTTCAAGAGTACTGTAGGAGAATATTGACACCTTGTTGTCTCTGTGCCTGTCTCTGCATATGAGAGTATTTTGCAACCTCCATTGGAATAAAATAATGACGAAGAGGGAATATCTGATATATCTGATATATGAAGAGAGAATATCTTCCAGAGGAATCATAATTGTGATCTTCTTTTGTAAGAAAATCTTACTTTCTTTTGGGTTACTTCTTTCTCTCTTTTGGGTTCTTGAGATCTCCAAATAATGTATGTAGGATTGGAACCACTGTCCATAGCTTTATTTTGCTATAATGAGTCCAATTTACATTTGATTCTAGCCATGGAATAAAGTACACTTGTAAACTTTTCAGGACTTGCTTTCATGAAGCAGCTAGATCCTTAGGACTGAGATTTCTAAAATACAAATTCTCTTAATGCTTCCATTAAGGAGCTGAAGCTTGTGTTAAATGGCTCAACTTTGATGTGATCAATTTAATTTAATCTAAGTTTGGAGAGTTGCCTTTATTTAATTAAAGAGAAAAAACAGATAAGGTGAAAGGAAAACTGTGTATTTATAGACAAATTTTGAATGAATACACACACACACACCTTTATGCAAAGGTTTTAGTAAAGGATGAGTCCCTCTGCAGCGAGATGGGTGGTGACAAATTTGAAATATAAATTAAAAAAATAAAATGATCATTTCTCGTAATCATACATACATGGGCTATATTTGAAAGTAGCTTGTTCATAAGTCACAAGTAATGCCAGGTCTTCAGTCCATTGAATAACTGGGGCCATACTTTTATCTTAGAATATTGATGAACAAGTCTATTAGCAATAAGAGAGGCACAGAGAAGTCATTTCTATTGTCCATCCACCAATTTCTATGCACTAGGTAGAATGTAAACATCTGAAAATATTAAAATCTGTCTCAAAGTCAAGCTAGTGTATGCAATGACTTCCTGCAAGAATGCAGCAGTTTTAGGACATCACAGAATATGCTTAAAGTATACTTCTCATTGTATCTCCAATGAAACAATGTTTGCTCATCCCTTTTCTCCTCCCATTCATATACAATGGGGAGCAATAATTGCAAAATACTTTTTGTTGAATTAACTGTAGTCTAAGATCTATGGAAATTTTTGATATAGAACATAAGACAATCTCCCACTGTTAGACAAGCTTGGGTCTCCAGTCTCTTCCTCTACTCACTCCACCTTAGTTAAGCTGGAATGTTGTCATAGTTAGATGTGGGGTATATTGCTGTATCTGGTGCCATATGGACATACAAATATTTTATGTCTGGCCTTCATCTCAAGATAATTTATAACTTTTAAAACAATTAATGAAGGGAAAAAAGTATGTTATTTCTCTGTGTGTGCTGTACCATGGATGCAAGCTCCTTGAAAGAAAAATATAAACACAAAAATATAACACAAATAATTTTGTTTACTATAAAATATTTTTAACATGCTTAATTTTATGATTATGCAATGGTATACTTGTAGTTGATTGTATAATTCTTTCTCTATTTCTCATGTGTTTGTCCATAGCATCCAAAATATCTAGACACATATACAATTTCAACAGTATTACTAAAATATGTATGAACTTACTGATATTTTTTGTCATGGAGAACAGTGAAATATTCTTTATCAATGATGCTGCCAGCAGGTAGCAATACAGTTCCAATTAAAACATCAGAATCTAGGATTTTTTAGACTGTACTATACAAATATAAAAATGATTTTTAGACTTGTTATGCAACTTGTTCCTGCACATACTGATTTTGCAGTAAAACTCCAGAGCATAGAAGTTGTGAAGTTAGTCCAGTTCGTTTTACTTGGCATTATGAAATGGTATTTCCAAGCCTCTCAAGATGCTTTTCCTATCATTTGCTAGAGTACTCTCTAAGAAATAAAGCGTTGGTTGCTTTCTTGACAGTAGATATTAATTGACTGATATAATTCAGTCAGAGAGTTGAAAAATGCACTAAAAATAATGGGGCATAACATGCTAGGGTTAACATTTATTCATAGATGATGCAATTAAATAAAATAGGCATTAACTTCAAGGTCAGTCACTAAAGTAATAAAACTGAATATTTTAATTGAATCATAATTGCTTCTTCAAGATACATGCAAGTCAAGTAAAATAGATGTCAGCACAGCAAATTATGATTCTTCCTCCTAATTAATTTCTTAATTCTGCATGGAGTTTTCTACAGCCTGGGCTTGTTGTAGGTTTATCCACCCATCCAGGTTGTCTTTTCCCCATCCCTAGTGATTTCACATTTGGAAAATGCAATGTGATCTTGGTTTAGTATTATATTATGATCTTTTGCACTTTTTTTTCCTTTGTGGTGTAAATATATGAATTAAGATCCTGATTAAGGGAATACTTGTCAGCATTTAATC